GGGACCCACGGCTTAAGGTCCCTCCCGGAGGACTTGTTCCCTGAATTTTTCCGCCCTTAAAAGTTCAACGACCTCCGCCGGGTATTTGAACCCGCGTACCACGAGTCATGACGTGGGAACGTTACCTCTAGACTACGGAGGCCGCTAACTAACTAACTAACTAACTAACTAACTAATGATGAAACTATCTGGTTGGCGTCACTTGCATTAGAGTGTAACTTCAGATAAGGCATACATACGTACTCGTATTTCCATTCTTCAAAGTGCGAATAAATGCACCGTCTCAAACTAGCGATAAGATTATCGACTCTCGTTTCAAGTAGGGGGAAATTTAACATCGCGTATCAACTCGCCGAGACAAATTCAAGGCTGGATAATGACCTTGGCAAACTAGTTCTTCCGCGTGCTAGTCAAACTCGTCTTTAATATTTAGCGTCCTGCAGAACTTGTGAAACGGTAAGTATTCTCAGGCCGCGCCATAGCTCAAGCGGTTAGACGCTGGCTTTCCACCGCGGCGGCCCGGGTTCGATCCCGGGGGTCTGGTTAAGTGGGATTTGTGGTGAACAAAGTGGCGCTGGGGGAGGTTTTCTCCGAGTACTTCGGTTTCCCCTGCCAATCTTCATTCCACCAATTACTCCACAATCACCCTCACCTATCATCTGGGGCTGGTACAACAGGCCAGAAGTGGCCGCAGTACAAGGGACTCAGTCCCACCCCACTAGCAATAAAAAAAAAGGTCTGTCTTCTGAAATGGAACGTCGTGGAGTCCAACAGAAGTTCACCAACGTTTCGGATGAATCTACCGCCATGGTAGAAGAGCAAGCCAAATGAGTAACCACCAAGAACCAGCCAGCAGGCTAATTTTGGTTTCACCCTTCGCTTACTCTCCGGCCACGAAGATGAGGGTAGTACGCTCATCCGAAACGACGGTAAATATCTACCAGACTACACGGCGTCATATGCCAGGAGCTAGTAGGCTTCATGTACAATATTCATGCTTTTAAACCTGACCTTTCTTAACAGAAAGCACTGTGGATCTGGTCGAGTCCACTGAGATAAGAATTGTAGGATTACAACATGTCCTTAGTTACAGAACGTCATCCACCCTCACACAATGTAGCTGCAACCACTTCCCCGCTACTACTTATTATATTCTTCACGCATGGTCTAGCTATAAGGTGACCATATTTTGCGGGAGCAAAATTTGGACGTTTGACAAGTACCTACTCGGGGAGCTCTCCCCACTTGCGCCTCCTCCCCTACGCCTTTTTTTATTGCTAGTGGGGTGGGACTAAGTCTATTGTACTGCAGCCACTTCTGGCCTATTGTACCTGCCCCAGCGCCACTTTGTCCACCACAAATCCCACTTGTCCAGACCCGGGATCGAATCCGGGCCGCCGCGGTGGGAAGCCAGCGACTAACCACTTGAGCTATGGCACGGCCATGATTTACCTAACTTTGAAATCATAATTTTATATAGAACAGAAACAGGCAGCTCTCTTATACTGAATTCTATACTCCTGTCTCCCTGCCTCGACGTCTCAGAACCCTATGGGTCTCCACGTAACATCCCCACCTTCTTTGTCCTTTTTTTGTGGTTTGATGTATCGGTCATAACTGAAATGAAATTATCTTTTTGTATCTTGGACTGGAATTCAGAAAGTCAGATGGGTATTAACAAATTTAAAACAATCAGCTCTGCTTTAGTGCGGACACGAATACATTTTGGCTCGAACACACACTGAATCAGTTTTAAGGTAAAGTCCACGGATCTGAAAGATTGTGTTACTGTTTGGTACGCGTAGGCTCCTACAATAGCCGCTAACTTCGATTTCTTTTCACCAAAAGTCTCACTTCTAAAAAGAATAGTTGCAAGGGTAGAACTGGACGTACTAACACTCACACCCCCTTTAATGTTTATCGGTGACTTTTAATATCAGAACGCACTCCCATGACTAAAGTTGAAACAAGAGGAACACACATTACACCAAACGTCTGAGTCAGAAAGTTTCTTTAATGATTGGATATTCCTTCTGAAGATCTGCGTTGAATACGCACTTACATTTTGGTGGCGAGTTTACCTGCTCTAAACAGACACCAACAAAATCCGTGGCCTATAGTCCGTAAGTGAACTATACCGACCGAGAGACCGCCGCTTGTCGGGGAAGTTAGTGCCAAATTTTGCGGATAGAGGGTGTCACATGGTCAGCGCAACTGTTCCCCACGGCCGTTAATCTCGGTTTTCTAGACTGGAGCCGCCGTATCCTTAAAATAGCTCCTCAATTATTCTCACGAGTGGACCCCGTTCCAGATCCACTACGTCTCAGAAAATCTGGCAGCGCCGGGAGTCGAACCTGTACCTCTGGATCTGCAGCCAGGAACTCTGACCACTAGACCACAGAGGTAGTCAAACAAAGACACAACGAGTAAAATCCCCATGCAGACTTCATCAGAACTGTGGAAGCGGTGTTCAGTTTTTTATAAGCAACAATGTACTGCACTAAAGCGAAACACCCTGTAGCTGGAAAAAAAAAACTTTACTCATTGTTCTCGATCCCCAGTAATGTCGTCAAACAAATATGTACTTCCATTTTTTCACATGTAAATTAAAAAAGTGAAAATAAGGCTAGGCATACGTTTTAAAAACCAATACCGTTGTGTCAAAGAGAAAATCCTGACATACTAGCGTCCCGGTTGATGTCTGAAAAAAGCCAGGACAATGGCTTATCTAACTAGCCAATTCACTAGCAGCGCCCTCATTCCTGATCTCGCTCATTTTCATTTTTGCCAGTAGTGAGGGCCAATGAACTCTTATAATGAACTTGTCCTCTGATAAACTCACTGACCTCTGATATATGCAAAGCCCTGAAGGAAAGACGAACATTACCTCGTAAACAACGGACTGTATTATGAGACTAAAAATAATATACTCCAAAATTTAGCAGACAAAATTCCTAGCGGGGTTCTTTGCAAATTAATGTTCTTCGTAGTTTTATTAAACTAGCTTGTAGCTCTGAATTACTGGGCTTTTTGGACTTCTTCCATCGTCCGGTATTCTAGAAAATAGAATGACCTTTCCATAAGGTTTCAGTCTCAAGTGTTCAGGTTTTACTCCACAGATGGAACTAGCAGTAGATGCTACATGTCTTCACAGTTTTCTTTTTAATTTTTTTGCATTGATGCTCGTGAGCTTCGTTTTGTTGGCTAGGTTTGTAGCACAAAATTCTACCTCATTTTCTATCCTAGTTCCACGCATGTGCGTGCTCCATAACAATTTTAATGTATATTTTCTTGTTATCTCCCGCCGAATTGGCCTGTCTCAGGTGATTAAATGGCCAAGATGAACTGATTGGCGGTAAACCGCCAGTCGTAAAGAAACTCTGATTCTGACTCTGACAGGGGTTGTCCAGTGATTGAGGTTATCTCTTGGTAAGGTACTCAAATGAGTAGGTGTCTTCCCCCCCCCCTTTCAGTAGAGGACTGAAATAAATCCGGTTTCCAAAATGTTGTTTTCTATTTTCTAGAATACCGGACGATAGAAAAAGTCCAAAACTCAGTAATTCTGAGTGTTACATGCCATCGTCAGAACCCTTTAGAATTTAGTATTTCGTAAGGCAATTCAGCAAAACATTAGATTAATCAAAATTCATTTTTCAACAGAATAATACTCCACAATATCAAACTACAACATTCTGTGAAAGGGTTTATGGGCCACATAAAAAAATGGTCTTACATAAAGTAAGTTTTCTAATAGGTCAATAAGGCTGCAAATTAAAAAGTTCGATGTTTACACGGGTCTTAAGTTTTTCAAGACAATTAAATTTAACTTGTATGCTCTGCAATCTCACAACTCGAGATCAATTTGATACACCTTGAACCAACTCCATATCGGTGGACCCTACGTAAGAGCGAGCGTGGTACATTTATTGCGCTGGGTGAACATTTCTGATTTTGTTTACATACTATCCTACATTCATTGTAAATCGGTTATATTTGCAAATGGCAGAAATATTGTTAGATCATGGCCTAATGGGGGTTTTGGTATGAAATACTGGGATCTGCTGCCAGTGTGTTAGTTAAAGGTATGTATCGAAAAGTTACTTCTCTTAAAAAGTATTATCTTCTGGGGTATGTTGTGGTGCAGTCTGGTAGAAATTCAGGGTCGATAATATACTACGCAAGCGACACCACGCAGTAGGGGACAAGACTTTCTCAGCGCTTGCGTAACATATTTTGGACCATGAAGATGGAGGCAACACGAGATATCAGTGAATTTCCACCAGACCACATGGTATCACATCCCAGAAGCAGTATACTTCAGAGCAATCACTGTCAACCTCAAATCCAACACAGACACTATACTTGTTACGGTAAACTTTCCTGTACCACGCCATGAAGTGTATGGGGGGGGGGAAGACGCCATAGCTCAAGCGGTTAGTCGCTGGCTTCCCACCGCAGCGGCCCGGGTTCGATCCCGGGTCTGGTCAAGTGGGATTTGTGGTGGACAAAGTGGCGCTGGGGCAGGTTTTCTCCGAGTACTTCGGTTTCCCCTGCCAATCTTCATTCCACCAATTGCTCCACAATCACCATCACCTATCATCTGGGGCTGGTACAATAGGCCAGAAGTGGCCGCAGTACAAGGAACTTAGTCCCACTCCACTATCAATAAAAAAAAGTGTATGGGGGAGTGGAGATATAGCTCATACCCCGGGGTACACCCCCGGTAAGAACTGTATAGGAGGCTGCGTGGGCCCGACAGCAGGCCTGGGAGTGGAGAGTGAGGGATAAATCTCCCGGGAACCGATGCCCGATTCCCGGATGTCGGGATTGGCAGATATTGTAGTTTACACACGTGCCCCAAGGATTGGTCACCACCTTCAGGGGCGAGTGGGTTTGCCTCTGAGATGGGGCACCACGGCCGCTCCGAGTGGCGCACGGCCCCGTAGGATAGCCTATCAGAGCGTTATCTGCGCTGTGACCCAACGCTGACCCGTGCCTACGCGGAGTGCATCGCAATGCAGGAGCCAGTCCTTCGAAGCGAGACCAGAAGACTGCTTCTGCTGCCAGGTAGCTGTGACGTTACTTGTCTCGATCATCAGGTAAGAGTGAACTGAAACATAAAATTACATGTTCGTGTACACGAGACTAATGTTGTCAAGGTTACCGAGCACGCTATCGCCATCTTGAGGATCCAAGCCACTTCGAACCTCAGGAGCCTTGGAAACACAATCCACTTTCATACGGTGCAAAAGTCTTTGTATTTGACACTGACTACGTCACATTGGAGGCTAAATCGATTGTTGCTAGGTAGACCATTGGTGGTTGCTGAATACCGAACAAAAATTAAATCCGTACAACTGGTAGGGCAAAATCGATATTTCACGTTTAGGGCCATAGTGCGCGTACCGTGATATTCATGTACCATTTATGCGGTTTTATTTAGGGAGTTTTTTTTCTTCCATATTTAAGCGAAATTTAATACAAATTGTTTCAGTCGTTCCCAAGAAAACCGCCATTTTGTTTTAGGGGGCCCATATTATGTAGTTCACCGGACACCGACCCGAACTGGATTAAATCTCTGAGTATGAATAACATCCATCAGAGCCTCAAGATCCGTTTGATTCGCCGTCGCATTACTTTATCATGATACAAACACAGCAAAAGGATCGCAGTGAAAGCCCAAAATCAGTAATTATACGGTTGTTTCGTATGGGTGTGAAGAACATAAGATTGAAAGCGAGGACGGGGTGCTGAGGGGAACTGGTTCCAACTGACTGAGTAAAATACACAGCGAGGAACTTCATAATTTGTACTATTTAGCAAAACATACTAGGATGATGAAATGAGCGGGGCATGCAGCACGTGCTGAAGATAAATATGTATATAAAATGTTGATCGGAAAACCCCAACCCAGCATGGAGGACCTTACCCGTAATACTCACATGTGAAGATGCTGGTTATATATTTGATACCCAGGGCATTCAGCAGTAGCAACGTGCGTTATGAGCTCTCAGAATTGTCGCCATGGCAACCCGTCTGACCTGTACTCAGAAGGTTCCTAGACTAAATTCTGGGAATGGATATTCGCAGAATAACCGTTTTCTACTGCCTCCTAATGCATGTTCGGGATAAACCAACAGTAAACAGCCTGTGACCCCTTCATTCCACTCGCCATTTATCGACCCCGTAAGCAAAATACGAGAATAAATGAAAGAGCAGGGATAGCACAAAACCAAACACCAAACTCCAGTTTGCTACTCACAATTCGGGTCCAAACAGTAGTTAAGGTCTTTCGGGTGGGTTTCTGCACCTCTGTTGTGGAAGCCAGGATAACTCAGCCCCTATAGCGACTAGGCTATGGGCTAGGGTTCGATTCCCAGTAAAAGAAAGAAATTTTTCTCTTCTGCACAGCTTCAAGATCGACTCTGAAACCCATCCATCGTCCGAGCCGCTTTCAAGAAAATCGAAGTTTTGTTCTCTGTGGTCCTTATTTTTGAACCTACAATGTTCGTTTTCGACGGGCGCTAACGTTCGTATGTATCGTACATGCATAAAATCAGTCCAGCAGTTCAGGAGCTAGCGAGGAGCAACTATGCACATATGTAGAGTGGACATTCCAAGAGCAACACTTTCCTATTCCGTGGGGCCTCGAAACTTGTAAACCTAAAGTCACGTGATCTACGTTTCCCACGATGTATACAGGATGTCCCAGGATAAAAGGTCAGTATTCTGGGAGGTCATAGTATCGGTCATTCTAAAGAAAAAAGTGTATATGTACATGTGTCCTATTCCGGATGGTTTCCGAGATAGAGCTACTTCACTGTGCAGACGAGCAACACGCCATATCCTCCTCACACGAGTCGCAGAGTGCATTGATGTTGACGGTGAAATTTTCGAAAATGTATTATACTACGTAAACTGCATACCAACTTTGTTACTTGAACAATAAATAACGGTATTAGAAACAGTACGTAATATCTCTTTCTTATCAACAATTTTCCAACTGTACAGTGAAGTAGCTCTATCTCGGAAAGCGTTCGGAATAGGACACACATACATATGTATACATGTATATGTACACTTTATTTTTGCTTAGAATGGTCGATACTATGACCTTCCAGAATATTGACTTTTCTTCCTGGGACACCCTGTGTGCTAATTTATGAGATAAGTCGGATAGCGCAGTCGGTATAGCGACTGGTAATGGGCTGGACGGCCGAAGGATCAGGAATTCGAGTCCCGGTAGGGCCAAAATTTTTCTCTTCTCCATGTCGTCCAGACGAGTTCTGGGGTCCACCCAGTATCCTATCCAATGGGTACCGGGGCCTCTTTCCCCGGGGGTAAAACGGCAGGGGCGTGAAGCTGACCATTCACCTCCAACTAGAGCCGAGGTCAGAAAACATGGGTCTGTACATCCACTCCCCAACACACCTTCATGGCATATTGCTTAATTATTTAAGCACAGGGACAACTTTATACTTTTCATTTCGTGCATGAGAAAGTAAAAACAGTTCTTGTTAGGAGCACATTGCTTTATCGTCACCGATGGGAAGGGGAAAATTGAGGAAGGTTAGACCTTTTCGGGGATCCACGGTTGTCCATACCCGCCCACAAAACTACACGGCGTCACAACTGAGAAGACAGCATTCTTAATCATCATCACGAGAACCTCAGAACTTATGAGTCTCTATCCTGAAATAGCATGAAATCTCACATTTGTTCCAAGACGAGAACGGCCGATGGTCCTGCTAATTCATCGACGCCGAAACGTGAACAACATAGCATTCTGCCTTTTGAAAGCTAGCAAAAGCGAATTCCAATCGCGGAGTTTGTCTCGGCAGTTTAACGGAAGCAGCCAAATGTTCTTTGTCAGCTCCAGTTTCCTGTTTCTCGGACATTGACGGCAACTCCTTTTGTACACAGAAGTCCCAGTTCACCAGAGTTATTCGACATTTTCGTATACAAAGACGTAAAGCCAAGCGCTACTAGTTCAGATTTCGAATTAAAATATATTTCAGACTCAAAAGCAAGAACGGAACTCTCAAATGACGGCATGAAGAAAAACTTAATTAGCGGTACACGTACGAGAAATAACCTCCAATGATTAACTATTAACTGTTCCACAAATATTAAGTACTCACAACGCAAAACTCACCCAAAGAACAGGCAAAAAAAAAAAAGTGCTTAATTATGCATTCGCCATGAAGGCGTGCTGCTGCACACATTTTGAACCTCAGTACCAGACTGAACTGAGACTCACCTTTTCGCCCCGGCCATTTTACCTCCAGGGAAAGAGGCACCAGTATGCATTGGATAGGCGACTGGGTGGGCCTCACAGCGGATTAGGGAATTCTTTGCGGAGAGGTTCCATCAATAAAGTTGTCCCTGTGCTTAACCAATTAAGCACTAAGCCATAAGGCGTATGGGGGAGTGGATGTATAGATCCACATTTTCTTGACCTCTGCACTAGTTGGAGATGAGTGGTCAGCTTCACGCCCCGGCCGCTTTACTCCCGGGGAAAGTCCCCGGTACCCATTGGATGGGCCTCAGAGCGCCGGTCTGGACGACTTGGAGAAAATTCTTGACCCTACCGGCATTCGAACTCCGACCCCTCCGTCGTCCAGTCCGTAGTCGCTATAATGACGGCACCATCCCGTCTCCCCGAAGATCCATGAGCGGGAGCGAAAATGGGACCGGTGCCTGAGCGCCCATTGGGATTGCTGTTAACGATATAGACTCCGTCACCAACGAAAATCTCCCAATGGGTTTCCTTTGCACAAGCCCAATTCTTAATTACCCATTCCTGAAGATGTCAGGATTCTAGCGAAATATGTAAGACCGAAGTGAGTATTTTATTAATTTGATAAAATATATAATGATATGGCAAAACTACCTCTGTAACAGGCCGTGGAGGCCTATAGGATTATGAGATGTCGAGGCTCCCACATTTTCTAGACGACCGGCTCACAGACGGCGGTGAGGTCAGCTTTACGCGCCGGCCGCCCGGTTACCCCCAGGAAGATTCCTGGTACTCATTTCTGTTAGAGACTGAGTCGACCCCAGGATCATAATGCGGCTAGAAGATTTAGGTCAATTGAAAAACCCAACAACCTCATCGGGAGTCGAACCCGCGACCTTCCGGCTTGTAGCATAGTGTCTCAACCAACTACACTACCGCGTGCCCTTGAATGATGTTAAGACCGAAGTGAATATTTCATTACGTTGATAAAATGTATAATTGTATGGGGTGGATTTATTAAGTTGACTGGCGTAATGAACCTTCCTTAAAATATGCAGTTAACGTAAGAAAAAGAAACTAGTTACGTAATTATTCGTACTCGTTTTGTTGCAGGCTGAGATGTCGCTTCTCCTAGTTCCGGCGTCACCTACGCTACCATCACATTTCTTACTGATAAAAGTTCTGCAATTGATACAAGAATGCCAGGGAGTGACTCAACACAGCGGCGACTGCGACACCTTTCAGAAACTCGAGAACCTATTTTCACAAAACAGAACAGAAGAGATGAACACTGAACCGGTCATCGCACTGGAAGACGCATGGAAGGAAGCTGATGAAACGAATCGATCTATGCGTATACATGAACTGGACCGCCTCTTAAATGACGCTAGGAAGCAAGTCGCAGGATTGCATAACACTTTGGAGCATGAGAGACATAAACTGAGGGAACTTGACAGAAGTGTAGACAAATACAAAACGGAGAAGCTGGAACTAGAAGCAAAACTGGAGGAGCAAAGAGAATGCGTGACGAAGTTGAAGGACGAGCTGCAGAATGAGAAGACGAAGCGTCTGGAGGTTTCTCGAGATCTCGCCAGTCAGAAAGAGTACGACCTGGAGCTTGCGGCAGATATACGGAAGGAGAAGCATCGCAATACGGAGCTGGCGCGAGACCTGGACGCTGAACGCCAGTACAGCTCCGAGCTGGACGTCAACTGTCGCGACAAGAAAGGCAATACCGCTCTGCACAGGTCGGCAACCCAGAATCCTATCGTTAGCCGGGGTGTCTCAGTCAGTGCGTAGAGGCCGTGCTCTAGACTCGTATTCATGAGGCCTTCGGTTCGTCGGCCGGAACATCGCCTATCCTGACTGAGGATTTTCATGCTTTTCTTCAGGCACCGATCACTTACTATCCATCCAGTCGATGCTGTATAGTGTAGCTCCGAAAGAGTCGTTAAATAACCAACAACAAAATACAATTACTAGGCTACAGGCTGAACACCCAAGCAGTGGGGTTCGATTCGCGACAGGGGCACAAAAAGTTCCCTTCTCTAATGTCCAGACCGGGTCTGAGACCCACCCAGCCTCCTACCAAGTGGGTATATCCCCGGGGTCTGAAGCTGACCACTCACCTCCGTCTAGTGGTGAGGTTAAGTGATTCAGCCACTCCCCTATACGTCTTAAGGACGTGGAGCTTAATTAAGCACAGGGACATCGCCTTTACATGGTGCCACGACAACCCTTCCATATCTTCTTCTGAGGGTGGCGGGGGACACCTAATTTCCCCCTTGTCGGTCTCCATAGTCTCTGCCCATCTTGTGCACATACTCTCTCTTAAAGCATTCTTCAACGTGTTTTGAAGGTACTGGACCTTCATATTGTGCGAGGTTTAACGTCTTCTGGCATGTGACACAGTGTAAACTGTAGATCATACCAAGGATTCGGACGAAAGTACCGCCTCCATCTTCAAGGTGGATAACATTTCCACCCTGAATATGAAGGCACCATTTTCCTACAAAATGTCTATAATGATGTACCATATTAAACGGAGTACCATCCCACAAGGCAGTAATCTCTATTTGAACTTTCATCTTGTGACATTTCATAGCTATCAGAGTAGCTAACTCAAACCGTCAAAGTATCCCAGGGAGTTAAGGATGTGTGGTACAATAGTTTCTTAGTGATATGTCCTCCAAACAGAATTTATTCCAAAGTTTTTCTTACTCTTTTATTATTTTAGGGTAATTTAATGCAGAGAATAGGTACTGACCATACTGCATGCATGTTTGTTGTCAGATCTGCCCAGAAAGGTAACTTGAAGGCTGTGCAGGCACTTGTTCAACGCGGGGCCAATTTAAACCTCAAAGAGAAAGAATATGGTAGGACCCCGCTACTTCAAGCAACCCTATATGGGCGACTGGAAATTGTACGCTGGCTTGCAGCCCAAGGTGCAAACATTGATGTCTCGAACAGGCAGGGCTTCACACCTCTGCACTACGCTGTATGGTACGGCTACACGGATATATGTCGTCTGCTGCTGAGCAAGGGTGCCACTGTCGATGCACTTGGGGATGAGAAGTTGACTCCTCTACACCTTGCTGCTAGAGCAGGCCACATGGACACCACAAAGTTGCTTGTATACAGTGGCGCCAATGTGAATGCTACAGACAATTTCGGAAATAGGCCTGTGGATTGGGCCAGACAGAATGGTTATACAGAGGTGATTGAGTTCCTTACTGCAAACAGAAATGTCACTGCCAATTCTAAACAGTCAGTTGACAAGACATAGTTATGTAAAATTCATAAGACATTTATGTATTGCACTCTAGATGTTAATTTCTGTGACAATTCCCAACTTCTACATGCAGGATGTAAGAGGGGGTACCCAAAAGAAACCTGTCGTCTGACAGATTACTGATGAATGAATGAATTCAAATTTTAAGCACAAACCTTCAATCCCCTTCAAAGTACTCTCCACTTACACTAATACACTTGTATAGTCTTTTATTCCATTTTTCAAAATATTGTCCAAATTCATCTTTTGAGATGCTTGACAGCGCCTCTGTCGTTTTTTTCCTTCACCTCGGCAACATCAGCAAAACGCTGAAAAAAAAGTTTTGATCATTTCGGGACTCTTCTTTCAAAGCACAGCATGCTTCCACGCGACCTCGTTTTTGTTCAGCAGTCAGCAGTCGTGGCACGAATTTCGCAGCCACCCTTTTCATTCCCAAATCTTCTGTCAAAATTCACTGAACTGAGCTCCAAGTCACTCCCAACAGCTCCACAATTTCTTCAATGGTCCGTCGTCGATCTTCCTTGATGATTTCACGAATTTTTTCAACATTTTCATGTGTTCAGGCCATTGCAAAAACGACGATCACACAAAACAGTTGTCACTATAAACTCTGCCGATACTAGTCCTTACCTTCTGAATAACGGTAGTCGGCTTATCGACTCAGGAATGTTAGCTCTATGCGCTCATAGCGGCAAAACGCGGTACTACAAAAGCTCTGCCCACAAAAAAATTAGTTCGGTTTCTTTTGGGTACCCCATCGTATGTTCAGAATTACTGGATTTTTGGACTTTGCCCATCGTCTGGTATTCTAAAAACTGGAGAACACAAACAGAAACGGATCCAGTTTCTGACACATTGTGTTTTCTGGCTTTTAGAATACTCGATGATGGACAAAGTTCAAAAACCAAATTGTACTGAATATTATAAACCATTAACAGAACCCTTTAGAATTTAAAAGTCCTGTGCATTCAGCAAAATCTCTAGTACAGTGATACTTGTTACTCTATGTTGAAAACAATCTAATAACATTATAATGTTGTAATAATCTATGGCACTATCTGATGACACAACCTCATAGATGTTTTAGATGCACTGTATAAACATTTATATCTATCTAAATTGCTACACGGTACCACAATCTGAATATAGTAAGCATATTCATATGTGTCCATTATTGTTTCCAGCATTGGTATGACAGGTTTCCACACACCCTTCACATTTGGAAAAAAATTCTAGCATTATTTTGCATGATAAATAGACGTCTATTAGCATAATAACTAGTGTTACCATATTACCATAGCTATTAATGATATTGTGACATGACACCTGACAGCCAGAGGAAATCCTTCACTGCCTGGTATCAGCTGGTGAACAATATGTAACAACAGCCGACAGCAAAAGGCAGTTCAGAGTTAGTCGTTGTCATGAGTTGATTTAGTTGCGAGAGGGTACACTGCCAGCAATGACATACAGTAAACAGAGGACACTGTTGGAATCTCTTACTAGGCAATGGCTAATGAAGACACAGAAGACTTAGCAAATGCAATAGTGAGAATTTGAGTACACAAAATAATGAGAGTACTATAATAACTTGTAGTTTCAGTTCATAAGAGACAAATAAATCCAACTGCCAATCAAAACCCTGTGTCTAGCTTCTAACACGTGGCAATATGTATGGCTGAAATTTCAAAAGTGGACAGCCTTCTAAATCATGTTATCTGGAATTATGTAATAAATAATTCCAGTTTTTTATATGGCCAGGATTCCATTCACAAGCAAAATTTGGCATAGACTAACTACTTTTTACATATTATACATTTTCATCAAGAGAACTGAACATTGTCAGTTGTCATTTGTTTGTATTACTGAAGCTTTAAGGAAACGGACAGCCAATAGGAACTGCCATTTTATAACACTTCCTGTCAACAGAAAAAAAACTGCACCTATCAGTTGTTTTACTACCCATAACTATACTGAAAATCTGTTGTTTTTTTTTGCACAAACTACATAACATGAGCACATAATGTCTGCTTAACTATGCACATTTCAACCACTATCTGTACTAAAGATGCCAACCAAACTTCAGTTTTATTCACATGTAAACCATAAACTTATTTTATGAGACCCAAATCAAACTTCATCAGATTTCCCAGAAATGACATTCTGTTTACTGGAATAAGTTTATAACCTCATCAAAAATAACTAATTCCTTTCTTTTTCCCTCCCCCCCCATTCAAATCTTACCTTGTGTAACAATAAATAATTAGGGGGCAGTATAGTGCCATTGAGATTTGCCTGTATGTGACATAACGTACTCCAACTGGGACACAGTATTGTAGCACTGTTGTCAGGGTCTCATTTTAACTCCAAATGTTGACGAGTGCTGTTGTAAGCTTGCAGTGTTCAGAGTATAGTATGCCTATCAGAACAGTGCTCACAAATAAATACACAAATGGCAACATGCCTGCTATGTGACTACAGGCCAATGCTGTTCTGACATGGAAACCACTGACGCTGCTGTCAGCCAATTCTGTTTCAAGGCAGAGAGAGCGGACAGCTGAAGCAAGGGATCATTAAATTTTGGCCTGATTACAAGGAAGATGTGAAAACCACAAAATGAGCTCTGAGACAAATATTTCAATGTATTTAACTCAATCATGCATGCAGGTAAATTTTCCAGTTCAGTGACAACTAAATCAAGTGTAAACATGTTACTGTAATAATAATCTGTAAAATAAATTCTGAACTATGCTATCAAAAAATTACTTCTGTAACCATAACTAAAGAGACAGCGGCCTCCGTAGTCCAGGGGTAACGTTCCCACCTCATGACTCAAGGTACGCGGATTCAAACCCAGCAGAGGTCGTGGAATTTTTAAGGGGCGGAAAAATTCAGGGAACAAGTCCTCCAGGAGGGACTTTAAGCCGTGGGTCCCATGTCGTAGATTTACGGCACGTAAAAGATCCTCATGTCTCTAGGAGACCTCTGAGCAAAATTAGGCAACAATTTCCTGCCCAAGTAGTTTCCAATGCCTCTGGTAGATGGGGGAAATATCAGGTACCGACAGCCGACCTTGTTGGCTGAACGGGGCTGATAGCACACACCAGTACCGGTAGGGTATGGCGACAGTAGAAATTTAAGGAGGATGCACAGTGGGCCAATAACTGGTCTAAGTGCATGGAGAAACTCACCCCCTCTAACAACAAAACTAAAGGCACACTTTCCTGACAAATGACTGCAGCCAGGATTATGATATTTGAGAATTGATTCACGGACAGTGTGTTCAGGGACACAAACTATAAGTTGTGTATTAAAGTTAATACTTCTCTCTTTTTAGTTATATGACATATCACTACATAAAATATAACACAGCCCAGTCAGTATAGTCTCTAAGCTACTGGCTGGAAAACCAGAGAACTGACGTTCAGTTCCTGGCAGTGGCAGAGGTCTTTCTCTTTACCATTTCATCCAGAGCAGCTCTGGAGCTGATCCAGCCTCCTGTGCAGTGAGGATTGCAGACGATTTCCATGGGGATAATATGACTGTGGCATGAAGCTGACCGCTTCTCTCCATACAGTTCCGTGGGTTAAGAAAAATGGAGCTATACTTCACACATTCATGTCTCTTGATAACTTTGTCTTCACAGGTTTATCTCCTTTACCTTTACTTATGTGGATGTTTCTATACTGTGCAAATATGTTTCATTATTTACAATGATTTATGCATAAGCAAATAGAAGGTTCCAGTATTGTGTGTGTGTCATTGTTCCTGTGAGAATGTATTGAAATATGAAAAGAATAAATCTTCGAAAAAACTAATTTAATATCGAACATGCACACTTCTTTAACTTGGAATAGAGGTTGAAGAAATTTTGAAAATCTGGTAGTCAAACATTCTGGCACCAAGAAAAATGTAAATCAGTATTTTATGGGGTCCTGCTGTGGCCCTTGCCACCACTCCACATACAAGATTGATTTCTTCCTGTCACTCCATTGTCTGCCCTAAACACATGCAAGCCAGTTATAAGATAATGGTGGAATGTATCAGATTGAAAAGGGAGACTGTTACATTAGTCTTCATGTATCTGGATGTGGTTTAACGCTTATTCCATGATGCAATTGATGCAAGTGACTGAGTGTCTGGAATTCCAAATGTGAACTCCCAAGTGCTGAATTGGAAATTAGTCACCAGCCACAATTTCTTGGTCACTATTACCAACCAGGTGACAATTTTAAACCAATAAGATAAAGTTTAAGCATCACAACACACAGACAAGCAACATCAACTACCGACAGACAACACACGTCAACAACATCCCGAAGCAAAAAGATTGGGCCAAGCGGGAAAGAATTCTAGGGATTTTAAGAATTCTTACTTCAAATAACGAAACATAATTTTACAGAATTAACGACGAATCAAATAAGGAAGCTACTGTGGTGTGTGAAAAACTTTTAGTGAACCGACACTCTGGGTAATTTTAACTATTTGTAATTATTTTAATTAACTGGAACGTGGCTATCTTGGACAAAGTGAAGTTTTGTGTGTTGGTGATTTCTTTTTCTACTATAAATGCCTCTGATGATGGCTCCGTGGTGAGCCGAAACATGTAAGGCAGGTGGTGACGAGGTGGAAAACTTAAAAAAGTGTCACATTTGACGGAAGGAACTTGATTGTTAAGATAAAGTTGTCGATGTGCTTAATTAATTAAGCACTATGCCACGAAGAAGTATGAGGGAGTGGATGTATAAATCCACATACTCTTGACCTCGGCACTAGTTGGCGCCCTGAGTCATATCCATCTTCAACTTTTGAATTATAGTCCCCTAGAATGTGATACTGTATAGTTTGATAGATGGGTAGCAGCATTTTAGAGGAACCTCTCCATATTGCCCTGAAGATGGAGACAGCAGCCACCACTGAAATGTTGGTAGCCATCTACCAAACTACATGCTGTCACCAAGCAGGCTGTGTATCAGTATCACTCCAGACTTGTATTCAGGAGGTAGTGGGTTTGAATGTCTGCCAGGACACTGCCTCTCCTGACTTTTCCATAGCTTTCCTCAGTGTCTCTAGGGCAATGTTGGATATACCTTGATTAGACAATCATTTCAGTCCATATCCTTTCCAATTCATCCATAATATAGCCTTCAATATGGACAGCATCGTAAAATATCCCTTCCGTTTCACCATTTCATCCCAGAACACCATAATCCGATAACATCGCCAGAACCTCTGATCTGATTATCTTTACATTGATTGCTTTCTTTCCTCCTTACCTTCTTTGTATGTAACACATATTTCTGTGTATTTCTTATACTGGGGGTATGCGTGTTCACCCATCAATATGACCAACTTCCTCTGCTGTATTTCCCATGCTCACGAACATTCCTCTTTATACTGCAATAGAGATGATTGTTGTGCCACTAAGTAACTTAACTTAATGGAGATGAACCCTTCTTGAGAAGCCACCAGTTCTACAGCTACTCAAGGACTTCTCAGCATTTTATGAAACCCGAAGGTTCATTACCATATTCACAAGAACCCTCTAGTGGTCCCTATTCTGTGCTAGATCAATCCAGTTCATACCATCCCATCCTATCTCTCTAAGCTCCATTTTAATATTATTCATTCACCTATATTATTTTTGTACCGCGCACATTTAAATGTTGGAGCCGGTAGTTCTGTAAGGGCACAAAAGGATTCTGCAATATTTATTACCTTTCCAGTACACTCTACAGCATAACCAAATGTTCTACTGATATAAAAGCACATTTTTCAGTTATCGATGTCATCAGTGATTTCTTAGAACCACCTTTTTAACAAACGCTTTGTGTCTAATACCTGCTACAGTTTTATTCGGTTCTTCCTATACAGATTATGTGCCTTCTGTGATGTGATGCCACATAATTTGGTACCTATTTATCAAACGTCATAACACCACATCACTGCATCTTCAACTGACACATAACTTTTACAGGAATCTTTGTTAAATATGCACTGGAAAGTTTGCTTACCATACAGGACTTCTCATTCATACACATAAAGCAAAAAATTGCAATCACCTAATATACGTGGGCCCTATTTACGTCACTCCATTCCAGGCAAATCTCCTCATATAGATGATGGACAGATATAAAGTAAAGGTATCCCTGTAACAGGCCGATAGGGTTGTGAGATGTTGAGGTTCCCACATTTTGTAGACAATCTGCTCATACACGGCGGCAAGGTTGTCAGCTGTATGCGCTGGACGCCCTTTATCCCCAAGAATATTTCTGGTACTCATTTCTGTTAGAGGCTGAGTCAACCCCAGGGCGATAGTGCGGTTGGAAGGAGTAGGTCAATTTAAAAAATCCAATGACCTCATCGGGACTTGAACCCGCGACCTTCCGGCTTGCAGCATAGTGCCTAAACTACGCTTTCGCGTGCGTGGGTGGACTGCAGAGCCGGTCTGGACGACATGGAGAAGAACAGATACGTGAAATGATGAATTAATGTATGGACGATAATCTGGTATTAATTAGTACTTATCAGCAGCAGATCACCTACAAAAATCGCTCTCACCATAAAATCGGTCGGAATACTGCAACGCCTTTAAGAAATGTAGAAACACATTTGGGATCTGCCGCCTTTGCGAACTTTGCGAAGGAGTTACAAGGCCTCGTCGGGGGCAACTATGTGTTCACGTGACCATCACCTACTCCCGTCCGATCCCGTCGCCGTCGATCGCCGTCGATCCCGTAATCGCTGCATTCTACTGCCAAGTGTTGAATAGCAGTGCTAGAAGCCTTACAGCGGCTTGTGCTGAAAGCAATCCAGTCTTAATGAAATCGGGAAAAAATTTTGAAAGCCTGTAAGGTATTAAACTGAATGTCCATCAGAGTGACATATTATCCGGTAATGAAAATAAGTATTTATAGAACTCGCTTTAGTAGATGGTATTTAACTCTTTCGTTCAAGAAATACAAGCATATAGGGAATTGTGATTATTTGTTGTCAGAGTGTCAAAAGTGTTTTATAATTAACGCCACGTATGATTTAAAGAAAATACATTTTGTAAAAGTTCATGACAGAAATTGTACAATACGGATGGTCACAAAACCATTAAATTACACTTAATTTCCTTCTAAAGTAAAGACTAAATACCTGTTTGATAATTCAGGTTTGAGGTTAGAAATGTCACTGTAAAACATTATGAAGTATTAGTATGCCGTTTATGTATTTACATTTAGTTTGTGACACTCGCCGGGCAGTATGTGTGTTTGTTACAACAAAAACAGAAATCCTGAATGGAAGTGCCCATTCTGAAACGTATACATGGATGGGAATATATTAAAATATATTTTGAAGAAACAGGATGTGAAGGTTATTCTCAGTTTTTTAAGTTGGGGGCATGAATTCTGCCACGACACTTTGCTGGTTGTAGGGAGTGGTAATTACTAATGGGAGGTGAGGGAATGGATTGAATTCAGTTGGCTCAGGATAGGGGCCAGTGGTGGACTTACTTTCAGGTTCCATAAAAGTGACACAAAGCTGCAAAAAGTGCACAAGTTTTATTTAACATTTACTCCCTTAAAGATATTAGACTGATCAAATAAAGGATGAGATCAGTACAGCATATTAACATAAATAGCAGTATCACCAAAAGATTCTGCTCCATGGAGGGCGCTAATCACACTTCATGATTGTGTGAGAAAGTTATTGAAGGATTTTGGATTGTATATTACTGTCTACTTACTTATTTTATAGATTACACTGGACACAGTTTTCTTCATTTTTATTATATAAACTGTGGAGTTCATTACTGTGAATGAAATGACAGTGTTCAGAATGGCAATATCACAGACTGTGATGGCTACAGTCAGACATCCAGCTGTTAAAAATCAAAGGAATCATGTAAGTAACTAAAATATACCTAATATTTTCCAGATTACATGGTGTCACATACCAGAAGACCATTTCCTGATTCTTACTGACATGAGAACGTCAAATTTTACTTTTTAATGCAATATCCTCATTCCTCCGGCCCTCTTTAATTACATGACTAAACTTTATAATTTCTCATTAAAGTAAAATGTTACCATCTAAGTATGTCTAGTTTATTTCATTGTGCAAAACCCTAAAGTGTTGGGTCAGCATAAGGAAATAAGCTAGTTGCACTCTATAGTTAGCATCTTACTCTAATAGACAAAAAGTAGTAGTAGTAGTATTCTCCCTGTTCTTAACTGATTCAGTACTATTCCATTAACTTGTGGGGGAGTGGATGTATAGATCCATGCACGTTTCCTTGACCTTGGCACTAACTGGATATGAGTGGTTAGCTTCATGCCCCAGCCACTTTACCCCTGGTATCCATTGGATGTTAGGCTGGGTGGAACCCAGAACTGGTCTGGACAGCATGGAGAGAAAAAATCTTTCTCCTATCAAGACTCAAACCCAGATCCCTTGGTTGTCCAGCCTGTAGCCAGTTGGTGTACTGACTGCACTGTTCCAGCTCCTGTTCCTGGTCCTTATTTCCGTTAGAGGCTAAGTTGACTCCAGACCCATAGTGTGGCTGAAGGATTACATCAATTGAAAAAATCAGACATCGTCGGGAACCAAACCTGCAACCTTCTGGCGTGTAGCATAGTCCCTCAACTAATGACCCAGCCTTGTTGAGTTATCTTTTGCTTTATGCCTATAATTGCTAAGTAATGCCCTTGAGTATTTTAATTATGCAGTGCAAAAGGAATCTCAATAACATTCCTCATTTGTATGTTCTGTAATGACCTACTGCCTTTGGAATTATGGATCCTAACCACGGACAATGTCTGTTGTGGTCTGGCAGATGCACTGCAGTGGCATCAGCAGTAAACATTTTATTATCTAATCACACGTGTAATATAAACATGTGGAATCTGTCTGAAGTCTTCTAGGTGTCATTACAATGACGTGAATTCCACACGATTCAGTATTATTAAAATATGTGACATGGCGCCAGAACATACGTCCATTGCTAGGCAACGGCTCGGTAAACACATACCCACGGCAGTGAATACGCAAGCAACAGTCGAGGTACTGTTAAGTTATGATGGAAACGGTGTTTTCTGTTGTGTCTGCCCCGAGCCTATATAACGATCCCGGGCCAGCTGAAATAACCCCTGTGTGGAGGCGGGGTCAGATACCTCCACCGTCACCCTGTGAGTTGTAGGAGGCAACGAAAAGGGAAGTCTCAAATCTGAGACAGTGGGACTCGGACCTGGGAAAGACCACGCTGGCAAGTACCAGCAGCATATGCAAAAGACAGACCTGTCCTCTCATCAGAGAGGGCACCCCACTAAATTAAGACTGTAACTGTCAAATGGTAATAATTAATATCCCATCTGGGGCTTGACACCGAGACTTACTGACTGACTGACTGTCAGTTGCAATGTGACTTTGAGCTGAAATAGTAATTGAGGGAGTCTCTTGAGATGGGAGTCGATGATTGAGAAGAGATAACTGAGATGTCAGTTGAGTTTTGAGATGCTAGCCTGCCAGGATATGAGTTTTGGAGCAAAAGAATTGAAATGAGGAATTACAATGATTGAGAGCTGTTCATTGTAGTTGAAAGTCTGAATGTGAAGAGAAGACTTTATATGTGCAATAGTACTCTTGATATTTAGAGTGTGTAATTCAATGAGACATAGTTTCTGTATTCAGATCCTTTGCCAGGAAATGGGTAGTGGAGACTGTAATAGACTGAGGAAAGTACTATTTGCAGCAGTGAACTGCAAAGTGCAGAGATTAGCAGCAGCGCTGTATTATTTGTAAAGTTGAGTGTTAAGTGCAATAAATCCAAACCAACCCCAACCAATAGTAATCCCTACCTATGTATGACCTCTGGTGTCAGAAGTGGTCAGATTGGACACTGCTTTGGCTCTTCTATCATTATAGTCTCAGCCTACAAAGATGGAACAAACAGTGGAACAGATGATGGCATGCCTGCTGGCTGAATTAAGATCCAACCGAGAAGAAATGAGAACCAATCAAGAAAGAATGGAAGCCAGATCAGGGGCTGAAATGATAATCATTCAAGAAAAGATGCACTCTCACTACGAGAAGTGATGGTGATAATGCAGTGCAATGAAACATAATTGTAATGGTCAAGTTGTGAATCTGTTTCATAGTTGAATGGTAGATCCATAACTTTACTACCAGATTCATTATATCTCAGTTTGAAGACCAGCACTTCTGCCTGTCACAGATTAAAATGTAGAGGATTTTTTTTACAGAGAATTCTATAACTTTCATTCAAAATGTTCCTTTTTAATTCTGTGACTATTTAGGGAGGAATTTAGAAACCCTGCTTAATGTTCTGTCTGTTTTATTTCAGAAAACACCAACTCCAGTTCCATTTTCATCATGCATAGGCCCTAGCTGGTTGTTACAAAATAGACCATACTCAGTAAAACAGATCACAAAAAATATTGAACTTATTAGTGCTCATAATGACATCCAGATCGATAAAAGTTCACCTCTTCACCTCACTCACCCCAAAATTGGTGAAAATAATACGCCTCTGGTGGTGATGCTATCTTGGCTAATGGCCAAGAAGAAACATATCCTAAAATATGCCAACTTTTATATAGATCAAGGTTTCGATGTGCTTAGTGTCAGCATTACACCATGGCAATTGCTTTGGCCAGTGAAGGGCACCCAGGTAATATCAGTATTTAAATTTATATACTTATATTATTTGTCTCTTTACAAGTAAATAATAGCCAATGTGTGTCATACTTGGGGAGGCCATAAACAACAGTGTTACTCCACTGCAGATGCCACATTTGATTGTAGCACTGTTGCTAGGATATGGGTAGAATTCAAGTTGCACTTACTGTAGGACATGCCAGGATACATGTAAAATTTGTATCATTCATTTGTGCTATTGCTACGGTATGGGCAAAACTGAAACCCAAAGCAAATTGAGGTTATGGTCTTCCTCTAATGCCACATAAGTGAACTTACATTAAAAGAATGATCAAGGATTGTACTCCAATGTATATTCAAGATAAAAATAAACAGATAAAAACATGCATAGGGAGATGAATGAGATAGGTTGGGAAGGAAATACAGGAGCAAGGAAGGAAGGAGATAAAGGTATGAAAAGCTACATGAAACAAACAAAATTGGTAAGGGATGATGATAAGAAAGAAACCATTTTTTGCATTAATGCAGGGAGATCAATCTTACAGTGATTCTACCCTGAAGATGGAGGCAGCAGGACCCTCCAAGATGTTTGTACACACCTATCAAACTACACAGAGTCACACTCCAGAAGACCATCATCCTACTTTATTTCTTTAAGAAATGAAAGTATGATAAATATAAGTTGAACAGTGACTAAATAATTTTGATGGTTCATTGTCTGTGTCTCCACTTGATGACCATCATTCTCGCTTACCAAGCCTCAATTTCAGTAAACAAAACCACACTTATATACTGCGTGTAATTTATGAACACACAAGGGCAACTGGAAGTCAATCAAACTTAATTTGTTCCACTTAAGACTTTTGTTTCATTTGACTGTGTAACCACATTTGATATACAGGATGATTTTGGAGTCGAGTCAGACTTCATTATTTAATAATGTAACAAGTTATAAAAACTGTATGAAGTATGTGCCTTTGAGCTGAATGTATATTTGATCTTCCTTCCAAATAACACTGTGCACTCAAGTTCCCAGCTACTGTTTTACAAAACAGACTAATAATGCATGACATTCGATACTTAAATGCAAGATAATTCATCAGTTACTAAATCCTTTGTTTCCCTGAATGCATAACAAATTAGAAGACTGGGAAATGGACTATGCCCTAGACTCATTGTAATGAATTGTATCCTGCGTTTCACACATAATGACCTGGTCACCATTGCACTCATTGATTCTGAAGGCCAAAACTTGGCCTGAAAGTGACTATCCTGTGATATGGGTCTAATGGTGGTGACAAAAAAAAAACCCTCTGTGGCCTGTAGTCCACAAGCAAACTATACTGACCTCAGCTTGTCGGCGAAGTTAGTGCCAACTTTAACAGATAGAGGGTGTCATGTGGTCAGTGCATTGACTCCTCATGGCCATGAATTTCGGTTTTCTAGGCCGGAGCCACTATTTCCTTTGAAATAGCTCCTCAATTAGCCTCATGAGGCTGAGTGGCCCCTGTTCCAGACCCACTACTCAGAAAATCTGGTAGCACCAGGAATCGAACCCGGACCTCTGGATCTGTAGCCAGGAACTCTGACCATCAGACCACAGAGACGGTCAGTGGTGGTGACTATCAACATTATTTTCTTCTGGGACACGACACTAAGTGTAGCCTATTAGACGTTTACCATTGTTTTGGAGGAACCTGTGCCCTTTATTCTTAGAACATGAGACCCTTCTAACTTACTGCCTCCATCTTCAGGGTAGAAGTGACCCAGAAGACAGAAATTTTCATATCCTCAGCTGTTTTGAGGTTTCTGTCTCTCTCTCTCTCTGTGAACCTTCCTCAAACTCAGGATCTTTGGCATGGGAATCCCACAGCGACTTTCTTCTGTCCCTCTGCCTCTGTCCTCACAGAACTCTTTTAAGTTTTTTCCATATTCTTCCTTCCTTCTATGTGTTATTTTTCCTAACCTGCTCTTTCCATCCTGATCTTCCTCTTGGATGGTTTCCTTTTAGTTTCATATTTAGAATTGTCTTTGCAGTTTTATTTTTACTTAATTTTAAAACATTCTTATACCACCTCATTCTGTTATTTGTTAAATTCTGTTCAATTTCTTAATTTCTTATTGTCTCTGTCTTCTGGTATTGCCTTCTGTTCGTTTTAACATCTTTTCTCTGCTACACAGTGATACAGTACTGCAGATACACTGTGATTTGATGATCCCTCATGTCAGCGCTCAGCAGTGTCCATCTCAAAACAGCATTGGCTGTCACATATCTGCCAGCAGTGTTGTCGAACTTTCTGCCTTGCGTATGAATTGTGTTTTTTTTGGGGGGGGGACACTAGAAATACCTAGAAATGCCTCTGCTGTAGGCTTGTGACTTCAGTCTTTGATATATGGAGTTGAAATACAGAATTGATAACAATGCTGCAATCTTGTCTCAGAGTTTGTTACTCAACATGAATACAGAACCATGGATATTCAAATCAGCATAAATATAAAATTTTCTTTTTCAGGTGGTTGCAGGGGACGTCCTAAGATTTCTATATCTGAATGGGTGTTACCAGCAGTGTCTCCTACATGGATTCTCAGTTGGAGGGTACTTATGGGCAGAAGTTATGGTAAAGATGTCACACAACCAAGAAAGGTATCAGCCAGTGATTGACCGCATTGTAGGCCATATATGGGACAGTGCGGTAGATATAACCGAGATTCCTGTGGGGTTTCCCAGAGCAGTGTTTCCCAACAACACAGTCCTTCAGGCAACTGTTGAGAAATACATTAGGTATGTAAATGTGTATTTCCACATTTTTCATAAAGCAAATAAGTTACGTGACGCTTGCACAACTTCCCTATAAATCTAGAACTCGTTATTCTTTTGTCAGTGTACTGCAGTTCAAATGTTACATTCTTTGTACATTATCATCACATTAGTTCAGCGCAGTAGATCAACCACATAAGCTAACCTGTCACTAGATGAAGACAGCAGTGGTGGTGGTGATGATTCCACTTCATGATGATTACCATGAAAAGCTGAAACACAAAATACAGATTACTGTGTGAGCTATGATGGTCTCACAGCAGTGACCATGAAGTTTGCTGTCTTCTGGGACGTGGAATCATGTAGTCTGGTAGTTGTTACCTGCGTTTAAGGAATTTCCTTCCTCAATCTTCAGGGAAGAAGAGTGTTATATCCAAGAAGACAATGAATGGTCACTTCTGTGAGGACCTCAAAATCTCACATAACTCTCTGTAAGGAGTCCATTCTGCGACTCTTCTATGTGGATGATGAAAGCAGCAGGTTTCTCTGAAACATCAGATTATGTGACATCACATCCCAGCAAACAATCTTTATGCTTTTTTGGCTGTATGGGCTGTAATACTGCACAGTTCAGAGGGGTCCAAACTACATGGCATCACAAGCCAAAAGGGTGTGTACTTTATTGTTATTTCACTTTTGCAAATTGAAATTCTTGCTGTCATCCAGTTCACAGTCTTTTTTTTCTCCATATGCTACTGAAATACTTGTATGTAAAAATGACAATATACAGAACTAAAATTTGTTTTTGTAGATACGTATGAAACCCTGTCTTCCTTTCTAATGGAAGAGCATAGGCTTACAGAACAGGGTGCCAATGACATATGTGGACTCAAGAGAAAGATGTAACAGGATGGAGAAAACTGCATAATGAGGAACTTCATGATTTGTACTCCTCACCGATTATTATTATTAGGGTGACAGTGAAAGGATAATATTAAAATGTGCCCTTTAAGGATATAATTTTCTGTAATCACTACTGTTCAGGTATCACATGAAGACATTCCGTGATGCAGCCACAGTTCATTATGAAGTGGCAAGTCGGACATTTCACTCAACACTTCTGAGGTCTCCAGCCCTCATGCTGTTCTCAAAAACAGATCCAATAGGCACCGAGGAGTCCAACAGGAAGGCTTATGAAAATTGGGAAAAGTTGGGACTGAAGGTGAGTTCATTAGATCATGACACATGCAGTTCATCTCCTCCTCCTCCTCCTCCTCCTCCTCCTCCTCGTTGTTGTTGTTGTATGGGATGATGGCCCAATGTGTTCCAAGGCTTCCTGTTTTTCTGGATACCGGAATCTTATTTAGAAAAATTTGGTAATTCTCCTTGGATGGCAGATCAACCTTCTTCAAGGCCTTTACCCATACAGGACTACGGTATGCTGCTTTTTCCTCATGATGGTTTCGTTTTGTCTGTTTCTAGACATATGTCAAATGTTGGGACCAGTCTCCACACGTAGGCCACTTCCACAAGCACCCAAAGGAGTATCTAGCGGAACTATATGCCTTCTTGGACAGACTGGGACTTGTTGCCTATCCAGAGAAGATTCAAGCAAAGCTTTAAGCAATCTGAAGTTGAATGCTTTTATGCTGTTCTGACTCAACACAGCCCAGTAGAACTTCACACATTTTGGAACAACATACAATCGTGACAATCAAAATATTCAGATGCTTTTTTAGAATATCATGTTTTAGTCATTAATTTTGTAAATTACCTGGTCAAGTGGCTGAGATTAATTATGTCTTTCTTATAGACTCAAATGAGTATGTAACTCCCCACCTTTTCATTTGAGGACAAAAACAGATCGTTCTCAAAATGTTCTGTTCTCAATATCAAATGACGGACAAAGTCCAAAAACTCAGTAATCCCGAGTATAATGTACCATCATTAGTACCTTTTAGAATCGACATCCATATAGTTAAGAACGCACCTGAATAAAATTTTGATGTTCAGAAGTACAGTTCTCAGAAAAGAAATGAAGCAAAACCATTCCAAAATAATACAGTCCTACAAGTATACAAATCTTTTTCTACAACTGCATCAAAATGCAAATAAGTGCAGTATGTCACAATTTAATGTTCTTAACACTTTGCAGACAGGCAATTTAAATATTTAAATCACCCTGGGGATCGGCATTTTTAAACCTACTACCCTAACTTGTGCACTGTTCACTTTAAAAATTAATATAAAATCTCCTAATTAATTTTATGAACTAAAATTTTTGGAGAACACTTACCAGTGCTCCTAGAAGTGCTTGAGAGTGTGATATTTCTGGATACATTTCCCTTTGTGAAGTGGCATTACACAGAACTTGCACATGTAGACAGTCATACTCCTTTTGTTGTGTACTGTGCAAACACGGCATCGCCTAGAAGGCTGCTTCCGCTTGGCATGTTCACTCTTCACAATTTTCACGAGGGTATGTTTCCACATATCACCCGAGAGTCGCCCAGGGGGGTGGGAGTAGACAGCCCCGGTCGTACTAAGACTGCCGCCACCATGTGGTCTGTAGCCCAGGCTTTTGCCACATTCAGCAGAAATGCCTTGTATTTCAATTTTGAATGAGGGTTTAGATTTTTGAAAACCACAGATGAATTGAAAATGGCACAATTTATAAGCCACAAGGCAACTTTCTTTGTCCACTTTACTGTTTTCCGAGGAAGAGAATAATAGGCCAAGTACTGATCGGCTCTTATCAACTCCCTTCATGAACATATT